CTTTGGAATCTTACCTATTAAAGTCTTAAAAATGAGAAAATTGATAAATTATTGCCCAAATCTTCTTATTAGTTACTTACATATTTTTGGTAATTTTTAGTAATTTTTGGGTACATATCTTTAGTTAGTTTTTTAATTTTAAGTAATTTTTTATTTTTTTGTATGTATAATCCATTAGGTAGGGGTCGACCTGGATCCTACCCGACCCATTCCCGCCGCTAGTGTCGAAACTATTTCAGCAAAGCCATTATGTCCAACATCAAATCTCTCTCATTTATTGAAATATTGAAATTGATTCTAAATTTGGCTGAAATTTCCTTAGTATAAGTACTGACCATGTTATGGCGTTGCTGCTTTGGTACATCAGTCAATGATTGGGATGCAAGACAATGTATGCAATCCATCGGTTGATTGGCTTTGGATTTCAGTTTTGAAAGGAGGAAATGTTTGATGCTGATTTTGAGTGCAATTGCTAAGTTGAATGTGATCTAAGTTTGTTTTTATAGAATGGAAAGGCATGATAATGTTTGCCTTTTTCAAGGATAATACTTTTTTTATTTGGGGCAGAGAAGGTGTTGTAAATGAAAGGCCCATTTTTCATAATTTTTATTAGTCTCAATGGTTCTCTATCAAGTTTGTATAGTTAGAACCAGACATGATTATATTTGCGGGACAAAATATAGTTTATTTTATTTAAGCCTAGGGAGTAATCCAAACTTAAATAAAATGAAAATGAAGAGAGTGAAATAATGGGTTCATCCAAAACGGGTTCAACCAAAATTAGTTCCACAATAAGCTCCAAGAAAGGGAGTTTCAGACCTAATACTTAAACAGTGACCTAACCAATTTTATCCTAGTAATGTCCTTTTAAGTATGGTTGTGGTTTGCATGAGGTTGCAACTTTAATCTATGAGTTTAAGGTGTACCTCCAAACTTTGTTGAGATGCAATTTTGGTACAAAATTTTTAGGATGGTGTGAAAATTTATTTTTATCTCTAATGATAAAATGGCCTTTAGAGAGAGGAAATACTAAAATAACAGGTAGAGAAAGAAAACATGAGTGAGGAAAAAATGGCAGTTAGAGAGAGAAAATACTAAAATAACAGGTAGAGAAAGAAAACATATTTGTGAGGAAACAATGGGTAGAGAGAAAATCATGGGTAGAGTGAGAACACAATAGACAACAAAGAACAGTAGAGAGAGCGAGGGCAATGGAGAAAGAGAGCACTAAAAGGAGAGAGAATAGTAGAGAGGACAGTGCATAGGGAAACCAGTGGAGAGAGAGAAAGAAAACCAGTTGAGAGAGAAAGAGCGAACAGACGAGAGAGAGTGTAAAATCTATAGAGAGGGAAGACAGTAGAGAGAGAGAGAGAGAGAGAGAGGAAGGTTGTGTACACATTTTTTCGAAAATGAATATCAACAACCCATCTAGGTAGAAAAGACTAGTGAGAAATGGATGATGTATCCTTTTTATATTATTTCTAGCGTTTCAAAACTCGGATCGGTGGAGCGGATCATTTACTCACATATCTATGTCGGATTGTTTGATTGGCGATCCAGATCAGATCAGAATCAATGTTCTAAAACTATTTAAAAAGTACATGAAAGAATGTTAAAATTAAAATCAGAGTTTATTCGATAGGGATTAGAATGAACCAAGAAAAAAAACATTAGACAAGTTCAAAAAAAAAAAAATTGGAAATAAAAATATGTAATGGGGTTTGAGGGTGGAATAGGTTCGATACCTATACCATCCTATAATCGATTCGGTCCTAACCTATATCCAATTAGATCAGTGATCCGGACCAGAAATTGTTAGGTTCTAAAACACTGGATTTCTGACGAGGGCCCCTGTAATCAGGTATCTATTGGGCGTGCCTTAAATGCGAAGTATATTATGATCCATATGACCACAAAATACGCATGCTCCATCTGTCATGAACGCCCTCCACTCATTGGACTTGTGAATGAAATTCGAGTCGTATCACTTGCATTAGGGAATGGTATGGTGGTTCCCTTTCTTGCCATCAACTATGAATTAATTGGATGAGGATTTTCACTGTAGATTTTTGAATGATGATATGAGGGGCAAGGGTCGCCATGGCCGAGCTTGCATGCAGTGACATTTCAAATCTCATCTTCAGAAATTGGTAGGACCTGAAACTGCAAATCAGAATCCTGGACCTCCTTGATAGTGGATCGTAGAAAGAATTGACCTCGGGTCAAGACTGTAGAAGCTGGGTTTTCATAGCACGACGTTGCAAGTTCCATTCGACTTTGTCGAAAAAAGAAAGATAGTGGATTTTAGAAAAATAAATAAGCATGTAAAACATACTCTTGTTCCGATACGATCTGGCGCATTAGTACTAGTAACCCATGTAAATCATACGCGTGTTAATGCACACTTTGTAGTTGCTCCGGTCGACAAAAGATCTACTTGGGAGGATTTTCTTAATTTGAAGTTGCGGTCTAATTTTGAGTTACAGTCTACTTTAGAATTACAAGATTAGCACTTCCAATGATTTTGAATTCCTAAACATGTAAATTTTTCTAATTTAAACTGTCTTTGTACATTTTTAGAGTATTCTTTTAGGTCGATCTAGATTGTTATTTTTAATTAAAAATATATATAATAAAACTATTTATTTTTTATATAAAGTGGCCAGAGAGTGTATACTATAAGATTATTTTTTTTTTGGTATAGGCAGGTCATATTACTTAGCTATTAGATGTGAAATTTGGGATCAAAAATTTCAAAAATATTTTTTTTAGAACTTTGAGTGTAGTCAATAGGGCATCCCCGAGCCACCAATTCCACATCCAACTTATTCCAATCCTTTTTGAGTTTATTGCAATTTCTTTACGTGCAATAAAATTTCGTGAAATTTTTTTTTTAAAGAAAAATAAAAAAAAAAAATTTCCGATTGTGACCACCTTGTAATACCTAATTAAGTTTGCGAACCTCCTTTGTGTCATTGAGAGAGAGAGACGTGGGGTCATGGCATGTGGATGGCAGAAGCACCACACACTACGTTCGTTTAGAGTAATCATTTACTGACAAGAAAAATATATCCCGCCAAATCGATAAAGACGGCATATCGTGTGTTCCTGCTGGAGCACAATGTACGTATACTCTCTCATCCAAGAGGCCTATTTGGAAGGATATTATCCAAAATAAATTATGGACTGTTACGTTTTAGGAGAAAGTTTATATAAGGGTGAGGCCCTGATCAATCAACTTAAAGCGCGCTTCAAAAATTTTCAGTAGGAGAGATTGGTCTTGATGCTAAAAAATCCTCTAATTGATTATCTCAAATCAAGATAAATGGACATGAGAAAAATTGAATCTTAAGTCTAAGAAATAGTGCATCTTGCAAGGTGTTTTTGGACAATCAATTTTTAAAATTTCCCAAGTGTTCGTAGATTTGTTAGACTTATGAAGAGTTAACCTTTATAATTAGAGATGAAAATAAATCTTCTGGCCATCACAAAGATTTCCATTATTGAAACATCTTTCGACAAGGTGCATATTACTTTGATTGTTTAGGGCCTCAGCCTTATATAAACCACACCCTTAATTTTGGACATTTTAATTCTAAATGCTTAGATCTGATCATCTAAAAATTAGATATACAAGGGCTTATGAAAATTTCTGCTTTCTGAATTTGGTCCTCAGGATGTTTTATCCCAAAGGCTAAAAATACTTGTACAAAGATTGAGGAAGAGAATTTATAGTTTGCTCCCGCGGGAGCACATAATCATTAGGCTACTGAATTATCCAATCTCTCATTGGATATGGCCCAAACGAAAACCAACATATTCCACCAATGAGAATCACTCGTTGGCCCTCCCCCTTATCCTCACCCCATCTCACTCAAGAGAGAGAGAGAGAGAGAGCGTGTGCCTTACACACACAGTAGAGAGAGAGAGAGCCATTAAACCAGAAATAGGAGCTCTCAAGAGAGAGAAAGCATAGAACACAGAGAGAGAAACTAACCCAACAACCAAAACCATGTCTCTCACCTCTACCATGGTGCCCCGGGGCCTCACCCACTCTCTCTCTAGACCCAATCCCACTTTCTCTCTCCCCCCCAACGCCACCAGGTACAGAGCCCGGTGCTCGTCCTCGACTTCACCCACGTTCGCGGCCGGGCTTGCGCTCGCTGCAGTGCTCGCCGCCTCTCCCATGGCTGCCCCCGAGCCGGCCATGGCCGACATCGCCGGCCTCACCCCATGCAAAGAATCCAAAGCTTTCGCAAAGAGAGAGAAACAAGCAGTGAAGAAGCTTGAGAGCAGTCTGAAGCTTTATGCGCCCGACTCAGCTCCAGCTCTGGCCATTAAGGCGACGATAGAGAAAACGAAGCGGAGGTTCGCGAACTATGGGAAGCAGGGGCTCCTCTGCGGAGCTGAAGGGTTACCGCATCTGATCGTTAGTGGAGACCAGAGACATTGGGGGGAGTTTATAACCCCTGGGATCCTGTTCCTGTACATTGCAGGGTGGATTGGGTGGGTTGGAAGGAGCTATTTGATCGCCATTAGAGATGATAAGAAGCCTACGCAAAAGGAGATTATAATTGATGTGCCTTTGGCCAGTGGGCTTTTGTGGAGGGGGTTCATCTGGCCTGTTGCTGCCCTTAGGGAGTATGTGAATGGGGATTTGGTGGTGGATGATGCTGATGTTACTGTTCTTTAGAGAGACAAACAGATGGGTTCTGCGGATTTGGGCTCATGGGTCAGGTATGTCTCTGTGTTTTCTATGCCCCGCATTTGTAGAATACGGGCCTATTAATAAATCTATATTTTTGAGATGGATTTTTGGACTTAATTTTTAAGAACATAGAAATCTCTAATCCGGAAATATGAAAAAATAGATAAATTTTTAAAATTAAAAGTAATAATTTGAATAAGAAAACATTTGAACCCTTAGTTTCTATTGTATTTAGATGGAACACCTACTTGTATCCATCTTTAAGATAGATTCTTTACCCTTTTTGGATAGCATATGTAGAAATACAGTCCTGCCCCCATAGAAACAATTTTTTATTTGTTGCTCGTATGTTATAATTGATAATTGTATAGACCAATGGTTTAAAAAGCCGATCGGTGATCCGGATCGGGTATCTCAAAAACCGATCCGGATCGGCGAATCGACGATCCGGATAGAGAATCTATTGAATCGGTTGGATTAAAGCTTAAAAAAAATCCGAAAAAATTGTTAAAATTCATTAGAAATATTTTTTTTTAAGAATCCAATAAGAAATGAAGGTGCTACATTATTAACTTTCATTTTTTTCATCAATTTGTGAATATTGAGATGCCCTTTCTCTGTATAAACTTATGTTAACCATTAAATTTGTATCACATAAAAAAAGAATCATAGATAAAATATATAATTATACATGGACTATTATAAAGAGTAGACTCATCAATGAAAGAATGGCCATTAAAATCTCGTTTCGACGAAAAACCCTAATCCGCTAAAAAAATCCAAATTATTACAACCTAACTAACTATAATCCAAAATTATTAAAACCTAACTAATTATAATATTATATACTGAAATTATAATTATTAGTTTACATTTTATAATTATTTTATTAGACAAATAATAACAAATTAAAAATATTTTATTATATTATCTAATTTAAAATGTGTTATTGACAACTGTAAGAAAAATAGTACATTACATGATCTATAATGTAAAAATTAATAAATAAAATAAAAGATTTGGTTATCAATGTAAAAATTAATAAAATGCGTACAAATTTTGGAAATAACACTTCAATTTTTCAAAAATTTATTTTTTTAGGTTTCTATAATAAATTTTGTGAAAGATATTGTTAGTAGAAAGATGGAGATTTCAAATAGAATAAACTTTTTATGTTTTATTTTTTTATGCCTTTCATATTATTTAAAAAAATAATTATACCACTATATACAACAAAAATTAACTGTAATAGAATAAATTAAATTTTTTATTTTTTATTTTTTTATGTTTTTTATATTATTTACAAAAATATTTATACAATATATACAATAAAAACTGTACAACACAAAAAAGTAACGCTCACGGGGAGACTCGACCTTGAGAGGTCACATGGAGAAGCAAAGGTCTTAACCACCACACCACCTTACCATATGTGGTTATAACTTGATGATTAATAGAATATATTTAAATTCCCTTTTCATTTAATGATGTTTGGGAATTATCCCACTTCGAAAGATGGTATTCCACTTTGGTATATAAATACCTATGTAATATAAATTAAAATGTTTGTGTAGAAATATTAGGGTAACCTCACACTTGTCGCACGCGTGCAGGGAGGGAACCAGACAGAACCGGATTGGAACAGGCGATTCTCCTCTAGAACCGGGCGGTTCCTGATTTTGTATCGGAACCGACACGGGCTGTGCCGATTCCCGAGTCGAACCGGACGAGTCCGGTTCGACTCGTCCGGTTCGACTCGCCGATTTTTAAAACACTGGTATAGACTATTAGATACCAAATTGGATGGCTCAGGACGCGTTACAAAGTTAGAGATTTTTTTATTTTAATTTTGGAATTCGAGCCTAGTCAATAACACATTCATAACGACGACCAGATTTGAAATGTATCGGACAAGAATGACTTTGATCTCTTTGCATTAAAAGTAAATGGTCTCCATATATACTTTTCTATAGATCTTCGAATTTTCCTCATTTTTGCTACTAAGTTGGACACTCATGAATGCTGCTAGCATAATGTTTGAAATGCAATTGCTGCTGTCTGTGTTTTTCTAAAGATGGTGGGTCACAAGCTATTGCCCGCTATTTCACAGGGGTCTAGATTTTTTTTAGAGAAATAGTTACTCAACTCCAATACCCATGAAACTGTTGACAATAGATATTGGGTAATAGTATCCGATTCCTTCCCATGTAACAAATTTATGGAAATACATAAAGATCATTTGCTTGTTGAATAAGGAGGTCATAGATCATTTTGATGTAAAATCGGGTAGTTTGGGATATGTGAGTAACTCGACATAAAATTTAATATATTTTGAATATAGCGACATACTTCAATCTATTGGACTTTACATGTAATGCCTATGAGTGTGTCCGACCTCTTTGTACCAAAAGTTAATGATTTTATAGCATACAATCCTTAACCTCCTATCACTATTAGTTTAATGCTTATAAATAGCATGAATTGCAATAATAAGCATGTATAACTCTAATTTGCATTCCATGAGGCCGGGAAATAAATGTACTTATAAAATTGTGAGGCATAACAATGCAATGACTTTAAATAATCCTCAAATTTTATTTAGATTGTGCGATGTGAGATCTCACTGATTTCAGGTGCTAGAAAAAATAATTTGTAATGTAAGCAACCTGATATAAAGCTTTTTTAGTACTAATTCTTGTGCAAATCTCATTTAGTCCATCTCATATTCTTGCTTAAAACTTGTACACATCAATCCAAATAGAGCAGAATGACAGATTAAGATTCGTGTAGCTAACCCTAAATAATTAAAAAAATGTTATGATAATGATTATGGTGAGCGATCCAAATGGAAATAACTACAAAATAAATGACTCCATTTTCTACTCTTTTGTGTATGGAATAATTGTAGCAAAAAGATTGAGAAGCTTAGAAATAACTTTGAATAATAATTCATTAATTTGCATGAGATCATAGCTGCTAGAAATTTGTGGTTTTCATTTCATTTTACATGAGAGGTTTTCCTACTAAAGTTCGCCTTGCATTTTTTCAGATCTGGTGAGTTTGATGCAAGAAGGCAGAAAGATGTCACCTTGTTTATGCGCCAGTGCATGTATCTATACTTTTCCTGTTATATATGTTGTATTTTGCTTGTTTGGACCTGTATTTTCATTATTTTTTCGACTTATGATTCAAACAAAACCAATTGACTGAAGTGGGTACATATGATGTGTGGCTCATTACATGAGAGAAGTTAAGGATCGGTTGCTTTGCATGTATGGTATATCAGGTTAACAAGTAGGGTGAGGTTTCGATAAGGCCCTAGCATAACTGCAACTCAAAACCTCGCTGGAGAACTCACACATGGTGCCTGAGTATAGCGTGATGGCCTACAAATCCATCTAATGTTCAGCCAAATAAAAAAAAAGAGAGGCCTACAAATCAACCGCTGCCCTTGATTCAAATTCGAAGCTCTAAAAATGACGCAGATCTATGAAGGACTTGGAAGGGCTATTTTTAAGGTTTAAAATTTATTCATTTTCTTAGATCCATGTTCATCGAGGGAGACATGACTGATTCGCAGCATTACCGGTACTCAGACTGGTTTTCCCGTCGAGATTTGGGCCTTGACTCTATAGAGCTGGGGTCTTATGAAATACTTCTCTGTAAAAGTATTAGGTTACTTGGTCATATTGAAAGACTCAATAGTGGTAGACCACAATGGCGATAAACAACTAATAGAAGTAGTAATGATCGTAAGAGTTTTAGCTGGTAGATCTAATCTTCCAAGTTCGTCCACCAAATTTTGCAACAACCCTAGTTAGAGGAAAACTCTCTCTGGGCAATGATCTTGTAAGACCAGGTTTTATAAGACTATTCACAGGGGATTTGAATATTCACTATCTCATCATCATCATGAGAGCTTTATCCCAACTATTTGATGTCGGTTATACGAATCTCGGTTATTCTGTCACGTGGTGGTGGACTCGGATGGTGGAGATGGGGTCCTACAAAGCTATTGTCAAGAAATTTTTTCATAAACTCCCAGTATGGTATGAATTTGAGATGTATGTTTTCATAAACCTCTCCTTTATAAAAACATCAAAAGTCCCTTTCAACTTTGGGCTTCTTTTCCTAGGTGAAATAGAAGCATGGTTCTTGTACCTCTGCAAACCAAGGTGTTGTTTCTTTATGAAAACTAGATCCCGGGTTTGTTCTCTCTAAAGAAATTGGGCCAAAATCGATGGGGTTGCTCTCTCTTTGTGAAACAACATTTTTGAGTTTTGCTCATTTTCTTTTGCCGAAACTCACAATATTGGGGGCTCAATATGCCCTGTTTTAGAGCTCCATTTTTGCAAGAGACAAGCTCAGGCTGCTGGTTCTGCAATGACTACGACCTTTCTCTCTCCAAAAGCAACTCAAAAGCTGCGCCTTTCTTTCTCTCCACCTTCCTTCTTAAGCCATCTATGAGATCTTTAATTTTTAGGGTAGTTCCCCTCCAACTTTCAACTCTTTGAGGGCAGTCCCTGTTTTGTTCTTTGGCAACCGAATATTTCATTCTTTTGTTTCTTCCTCCTGTTTTTGAAGATTTGCTTTAATGGAGGATTCAAGAGGGTTTCTTTTGGGTTCATAGTTCAATTGATTTTTGGGGTCTTTTAGGGTAGTAATTTTTTTTTGGATTTTTTTTGAGGTGTTTTGCTTTTTGGGAGAGAGAGCTACATGAAAACTTTGAGGTTTTTGAATGATGGGAAGGATAATGACCAAACAACTCTGGAAGGGTAGAAAAATAACTCCAAAGTGTTTTATATGTACATTCCAAAATATTTCAAGTTCTTAATAAGAAACAAATTTATATAAAGGTGAGGCCCTAAACAATCAAATTGAGGCAACCTCATAAATTGTCTGCAAGAGGTTTTTTGAACATCCAAAATCCTGAAATTGATTACATATCGATCTCACGATGCATGGACATGAGAAAAAATAGTTTTCAAGTTTTGAAAATAGTGCATATTGTAATGTATTTTCTGGATCATCAATTTTCAAGTGTTCATAGATCTGCTCGATCTATATTATTTTTTAAACTTTAAATTTTATAATTAGAGGTGAAAAAAAATTTTCAGGCCATCACAAAGATTTTCAGTATTGAAACAATTTCTCTCGACACTATTTGAACTATTTAAAGGTGTGCCTTACTTTGATTGTTTAGGGCCTCAACCACAATCTGGTGTTCCTTACTTTGATTGTTTAGGGCCTCAACCACAATCTAGTGTTCCTTACTTTGATTGTTTAGGGCCTCAACCACAATCTGGTGTTCCTTACTTTGATTGTTTAGGGCCTCAACCACAATCTTTTAATAATAGTTAGCTCTTTTTTTTTTTGACATCCAAACTAACTATTAATCTAAGTAGATATCCGTGGATGTATAGATTACTTTTTTATTTGAAGGAAAAAGTTTGTATAAGGTTGCAACTTTATACTGTTGAGGAAAGGTGCATCTCAAAAATCCTACAGTGGAGAGTGTTTCCACATAGGAGAACCCTCCATCTGATCATCTTGACCTTGAGATAAATGGACACGAAGAAAAAAAAGAATTTCAAGTTCAAAAAATAGTACATCTTGTAAAAAATCATATGGACCGTCTATTTTCTAGATTTTCAAGTGTTTATTGATCTGCTCGATCTGCATCATTTTGAAATTTTCTAGCTGATGAAAAAAGCAGATTTTGAAGCCATCATAAGATTTTCGATGCCGAAACGACATCTCTTAGTAAATCTTATAGGTGCACCTGTCTTCTAAAGTATAAGGAGGCAACCTTATACAAACCTCACCCTTATTTGAAACACAACTTAAATCCCTATTTAGGATTTGAAATACATACTAAATCTCTAGATGTATTTCTGCTCTAGAACCATGAATTTGTAGCTAAGAAATATCATAGATTTAATTATATGTGAAGGATATAGAAAAAGGGGGTGGTTTGTATAAGGTTGCAACCTTAAACAATCAAATTAAGGTGCACCTCCAAAATTTATCATAAATATAATTTTAATAAAAAATTATTTGTTATGGCTTAAGAATCTATTTTCATCTCTAATTATGAAATTTTAAACTCAAAAAATAGTTCAAATCAAGTAGATCTATAAATACTTGAAAATCATGAAAATGGACGGTCCATATAATGAGTTGCAAGATACATTATTTTTGGGACTCAAAATCTTTTTTTGTTTTCATATTCATAAACTTTGATGTCAAGATGATCAATTAGAGGGTTTTCCAATATCAAAACAATCTTTTATGAGGTGCACCTTAATTCTGTCCATAAAAAAAACTGCAAAGAATTAAAATAAATGGAGATAAATATCTGAAAAACAAGGTTTAAAATAGTCTATTTGAAGGTCCTCTTTTTACTTTTATGATCATGGTAGTTGTGGTTATTGACCATTGGACTTTTAGGTCCAAAATTCATCTTTAAAATTGATTTTTAAAAATGACCGCATTTGAATAACTGCACTATCCGACACACTAAAACAAATCTTTATTATCAATTGCCAAGAGTAGGATATAATAAAGAAAAATGTTTATATTTAGAATCAACCGTATACTATAGAAGTAAGGTACACCTCAAAAAATCCATCAAAATTTTTTTTGCTCAAGTGCTAGAAAAACTTCCAATTGATCATCTCGACTCGGGATGCATGGTTATAAAAAATAAAACGATTTCAAGTCAGGAAGATAGCTCATCTTGTAATGTATTACCTTGGACCGTCAATTCTCAAGATTTTACGTACTTACAGATATGCTTGATGGGCACTATTTTTTGAGCTTTAAATTTCATAATTATGGATGAAAATAGGTTGTCAGACCTATCATAAGGCTTTTCAGCATGCGTACTGCATCTTTTGATGTGATTTGGGGTGTGCTTTACTTTGATTGCTTAAGGTTGATGCTTTGTGCAACCGCACCCTATACTAGAAAACACATCCATATGAAATGTGAATAACAAGCAATAGCGAACATATGAAATATGTGGCTTCTTTAAATGTTCCTCACTTCCTCTACAAGGAGTTGAACATGTTTAGGTTAAGGAAGAAGTCTTAGTCCTTGGTGGAGACCAAAGTAGGTCAAAACAACTATTTATGATGTGGTGGAACTTTGGATTGGTGTGGTGTATAAGTACTGTGAATCTTTGAATGTCCAATGATCTTCTATTATGAACATGTTTTTTGTTTTATTTTATCTTATTATTTTATTTTGGAATGAGGAAAAAAGAGAATATACCATTAAAATGGTCCAACCTCTTTAAAAAAGATCATTGAGGTGGCAAAACAACTAAATTATTAGTGAGGAGGTTACTTTAGAAAGGTCATTCCACTCAAGGGTCTCCTCAACTATTTTGTTAAATTGCCTAAGATTCTAGATATCGAATACCTTGGTATTTGACTTGACATAAGTGTTCCAAATGATGTAAATACCCTTGCTTGTGCCATTCTAAACTCAAAAGATGTTTTTTTTATTAAAATATCTTGTTCTGGGTTTAGAATCAAAACAAGTGGAGATACATGTCATTTTGCCGCACTTCAATGGCCCGAGCCTAGTGATGAGACTATATCATTTAATTCCGTGTTCCAAACTTGAAGCATGATCTGTTTCATTAAAATCGCTTGTCCTAGGTTGTGAATATATAACAATTAGGGGCATTTTGAAAATTTAACTTCACTTGGAATATGAGCCAAATTACAAAAATACCCCTAGTTTCAAGATTTTTTTTTGTGGATAATTCAATGGGGAAGATGAGCCTCTATCCGTTTTTGAAATCGTTAGTTGTCTTTGAAAGTGTTAGGTGAGAATGAAAGCCTAGACCTTAGTTGAAGCATATGTGGTGTTACCACCACGACCCCAAACCCCTACTTTCAAGATTCCAAAGTGTGAAACAAAGACATTGAGGGTGTTTCTTTAAAAGAATACTTAAGGAGGTACTTGAGTGATCATTTTAATGACCCTTTCTCCCATAAAAGAAGTTTGGAAAAAGTTTAAATAAGGTGTAAAACTTATGGTATGAAAACATGGTTTACCTTAAAAAATCCACTATAAAAATTTCTTTGATGCTCAAAAACCTTAAAATTGATCATCTCAACCTCTAGACATATGGATGTGAATTTTTTTTCAAATCCTAAAATACTGAATATTGTAACATATTATTTAGAACATCTTTTTTTTAAAAAAAAAAAAACATTGTGAATGTTTATAGT